CAAAGATGTTAGTATGAAAACAGAATCAAATAGAAACTTAATTAGAAATTTCATTCCTTAGGGGAAAAGAAACTCTTTAAAAATGAGTGCCATGGAAAACAATCACTCATAGGTTAACTGACAAAGTATGAGTTAATTTACATATAAGAAAATAATTTAAAACATTAGAAATATTCTAAACATTATCATCTCAGATGTTGTCACCAGATACAAAATTATTCATTCCAAGTTTAGACTGAAGGTTTGGGGGGATGAAGAAATAATTCAGACCCAGAAAATGAATACTAATGTATAAAATATTTAAGGAAGACAAATTATTTTCAGCTTCTGTTGGTGCAAACAAATATTAATGACAGGGGCTCTACTGCGAGGAAGATCTAGGTTGGATTTTGCCTCCTCTGTGCCTCTGTTTCCTCCTCCATAAAACAGAAATTTGAAATAATCATACCCACATCATAGGACTGGTATAGTGTTAGATGAGATAGTTAAAACTCATCTGTAAGAGCTCAAAACATTCGTTATTATGATTATTGAATTTGGCATCTGTTAAAAACAAAATCACTGCAGATGGTGATTTCAGCCATGAAATTAAGAGACGCTTACTCCTTGGAAAGTTATGACCAACCTAGATAGTATATTAAAAGGCAGAGACATTACTTTGCCAACAAAGGTCCATCTGGTCAAGGCTATGGTTTTTCCAGTGGTCATGTATGGATGTGAGAGTTGGACTGTGAAGAAAGCTGATGCTTTTGAACTATGATGCTGGAGAAGACTCTTGAGAGTCCCTTGGACTGCGAGGAGATTCAACCAGTCCATCCTAAAGGAGATCAATCCTGGGTGTTCATTGGAAGAACTGATGCTGAAGCTGAAACTCCAGTACTTTGGCCACCTCATGCGAAGAGTTGACTTGTTGGAAAAGACCCTGATGCTGGGAGGGATTGGGGGCAGGAGGAGAAGGGGATGACAGAGGATGAGATGGCTGGATGGCATCACCGACTCAATGGACATGAGTTTGAGTAAACTCTGGGAGTTGGTGATGGACAGGGAGGCCTGGCGTGCTGCGGTTCATGGGGTCGCAAAGAGTCAAACATGACTGATTGACTGAACTGAACTGAAAAACAATGAAGTGAAACCTGAATGATACTATAATTAATCCCACAAGTGACCTGTGATGATTAGGACCACTTAATGTGTTTGTCAGCCTCATTTAAATTCTATTACACTTAAGAGAACCCGAATTAAATTACTTTGAAATAAACTGCAATTCAAGTACACCATGAATTGAAGAAAAACCTTGACTTTAGTCTAAATTGATGGTACTTTACTACATCTGGCTCATCCTAAAAAGCAGACTATGTGGAATGTAACCATGTGTGCAATCAAGATTAAGAAAAGGACATGAATTGTTTTACAAGGATTTTCTATCTTTTTTCTTTTTTTGATGAAGGAAAGCCTTTCATCAAAGGCCCCCTAAAAAGGAATTAGTGGTGTAATTTCTCATTATTTAATTAAACCACTCTCATCTTCCCAGGAAAACTGGAAATCCAATGAGCATACTGACACATTGAGAATTAGTATCTTTGTACATTTGTTTTAACATCAATTCTCAACACCAGTTCTCTGTCTCGCTCTCCTCCAATTTCTGTGAGCAAGCATCTTGCTCTTTCCTCTTTTGATTGTTTACTGTCTTTCCCATCCTGTGCTTCAGAAATGGGGACACTGCTGTTCCGTACATCGCTCACACCCCAGTGACTCTACGTAAGTGCTGGGGCATGGCAGACACCAGATATTTGTCAAATCAGTGGGGAAAGGGGGGAAAATTGAATAATAGGGCTAGCAACTGACTATACTTTCTACTCATCACAATTCATAGATTATATAGGATACTTTTTTAAAGCACCCCCCACCCCTCCAAAGTAGGGTGTTGAGTGGAGTGTGCTAACCAACTGAGGATACCCCACAGTGTAACAAAACTTTTTCTTCTTGGTTCTAATTCAAGTCTTCCCATTTTTCCTCTGAGGTGCAGAAGATGCATAATCCCTGCTTTGGAGTAAAATCTAAGAAAGGCAATAACACACCTAGTCCTAGCAGATGTATGCTGCAAAGATGCCTGCTTTCCTCAAAGTTTTGAAGAGAGATGGTAGAATACTGAAATATTACAACCTGTAGGATTCTCAGATTTGATTTTGAATTTCCATGGGAGAAGAAGGAAGAAAAATATAAAGATTAATTAAGTGAAAACTATTCAAGTCACACTTAATATGATGCACTTGTAGCTCTATTAATGCAACTATTAGAATTTCTAGAAGAAAATATTACAGAATCAGTGGGAGAGATAAATTAGGAGGTTGAGATTAACCTCCTAATTATTATATTATCATATATATCATAGAATATATAGAATAGATAATCAACAGGATCTAAAATAAAGCACAGGAAACTCTACTCAATACTCTGTATTAACCTATATGGGAAAAGAATCTGGAAAAGAATAGATATATGTATAGCTAAATCACTCTGCGGTACACCTAAAACTAACACAACACTGTAAATCAACTATACACCAATATAAAATTTCAATTTTCTTCAATGTAAAAAGTTTTAAAAAAGAAAATATTCCAGTGTCATTCTTTTTCAAAAATCAGGGTATATGGCATTCAAGGTCAATTGTTCACATAAGATTAAGGCTTATAACTAAAGAAGACTTCTGTTCTAAAATTTCATTTTTCTCCTGAAAAGAAATGTCAGGCATCACTTAGTAAATGGAATAACCGAAGCCAAATATTACAAGTGTGACTTCCCTATGATGGCACCAGAAACTAGTTTTCACATCCCACTGTAAAATTATCCATCTAGGCTTCCAAAAGACATGGACATATTTGAGGTGTCACAAACAATTCAAATGTCATTTTGTAGGAGAAAGTTAAAAACAAATATCCAAGAAACCAAATTTAATCAAAGTCAAGAATCTTACCTGAATAAGAATTGATATTTGTTTGAGTCTATATTAAATCTGCTTGATGATTCACTTAACTTCAGTTAACTTTGAATGATTCAAATGCTGTCACAAAGTTTGGGGCAAATGTTAACCTCCTTTAATTAAGTCAGATAACTGACAGAAGAATAATTTGAAATAGCCTCTAACTATGGAGACTGAAGCACCCCCAGGAGGATTATTGCCAATGCTATCAAATTACCCATCCCTTGGAGAGATGGAAGAAGGCATCCTTATTTCAAATGAGTCTAAATCAGACTTGGGTGCAAATTAAGAGTAGATGAGTAAGAAAGGAGAGAGTAAAGAATATTCTATTTTTTCTTGGATCTGGCTTTTGTAGAATGTCTCAGTCACAAAAAGTATAGAAACATCTCTAAGGACTTTCTTTTCTTATAGTCAACTAAAGAATCAAAGGACTAGTTAAATCATGGTGCATGCAGTCTTCCCAAAATAAGGAGGAGGAAGAGAAGTGGAGAGACGTAGACGAAGGGGAAAAAAAGAACAATCATTTATTGAGTCATATCTGGGTCAGGACTATACCAAGGACTTTTCATACATTAACCATTGTAAATATTAAATCAACCATTAGTAACCATCCCAATTTTGAAAGTGTTAGTCGCTCAGTCGTGTCTGCCTCTTTGTAACCCCATGGACTGTAGCCCACCAGGATCCTCTTCCATGGGATTTTCCAGGCAGTAATACTGGAGTGGGTTGCCATTTCCTTCTCCAGGGGATCTTCCCAACCCAGGGACTGAACCCAAGTCTCCTGTGTCTCCTGCATTGCAGGCAGATTCTTTACCTGCTGAGCCATTGGAGAAGTCGATTTTATAGATTAAAAAATCTAAGGCATAGATAGGTTTAAATGACTTTCCAGGATTCTGGAGCAAGCAGCAACACTGGACATGAACTTGGGCTAACTTCAGGAGATGATGAGGGACAGGGAGGCCTGGTGTGGCCTCCCTGGGGTCTGCAAAGAGCCAGACACAACTGGGCAACTGAATGACAACAAATAGCCACCAAATGCCTCCACTTTTCAAAGTATTTGCTTCAAATAACTTCCAGGAATAACAGAAAATAACAGTGAAACTTCTAAATAATGTTCTAAGCAGTGTTCCTATCCATACCCCCTAAACATCACTTCCTGAATGTGATGAAGCTCAATAACTTCACTCAATTCATTATCTGCCTTGGAAAGGTGCAAATGAAGGCAGAAATGTATACATTGAAAGAAGATTGGTCATAAAATTTATATTTACTAATTGACTCTGAATGATGATGACGATACTCGAAAACATAAACTAAAAGGAATAGTTTTCTGGTTTGTTTTAAACTAAATATTAAACACTTCCTTAGGAAACAGTCTTATTTACACCAGAATATGTTTGATCAGATGCAGAATTTGACTGCATGATGGCTTATTTGGTGAATAGAGAGTAGGAATGGGGTGAAGCTACATGTGTGCATCTAGCACATTCAGAGCCAGCTTGCCACAATTAATTGAATCATGTGTGTTAGTTTATATTACATGCTCATTATTAATACATTTTTGTTCAAAAGTGGGACTGATTTCTTTGCTAAATATTTAAATGCAAGAAAGCAGCAAACTAGTCAAAATCACCTAAACTGGCAATCCCATCGGAAATAGACAAATCTTAATATTTCAAGTATATGAGTGGACTCTATCATAATAAACATGATAAATCATTACAAAAATGAAAATGTTATCTAAGCATTGATAATTAGAAAGACAGAAAGCAGGTATTGGAGTTCTATTTGATTCAGCCAAATTAATCAGATAAGTAAGATCTCACTTAAAAGGAACTCAGTCAATATATTTACCTGAAATAACTCATTTTCCACCTCTGGGGCAATCGTACCATCCTATCTCTTCCATTTGTGAAAAATTCAACTAATTCAGTTCAAATGATAGTATAATTGAGTTCGCTCCAAAGCAAACCCAGGCACCCATTACAACAGCAGTATGTATAATTATAAAGGGACTTACATATTTGGTTTCTCGACCAGCTGCTCTTGGAAGAGTTGTAGGCATCTGTATGAAAATAAAAACAATTATGCTACTGAAGTAATCAAGAAAATATTAAAAGATACAACCTCTGGGATACATGTTCACCTTTCTTTTCCTATTAAGACTTTCTAACCAGTACTCCATCTTTTCTATACAAAACCTCCTGTTTCTTTGAAATTTATTTCACTAAGCTTTACTTTCACTTTATTATTCTCTTCACTGCTGTTATCAATCAGTTTTGAAGAAATTATATCTTGTTTATCGATGACGTTCATTCATGGATCATAATAGTTCCTCACGCAAGTTCAGAATTCACAGAGAAATCTCTATCCCTCAGTTCTTTGAGCTGTTCAACTCCAAAAATATCCTCATCTGCTCCATTTCAATCATCAGCTCCCAGGACTGTTCCTAGATGTCACCTTCACAAATAAAATGGAAAACTTCTGAACTTTCATTTCTCACATCTGTCTTTTAGAGCTTTACTTCCCATCTACCATCTTCATTTCTCAAATATCCCAACACATGTCTTCAGCCTCACAGAGACTTCAAAATTCCCAGCTCCATTACATATGCTGCATATTCTGTTATTTTAATATCTTAATTTATCTTGCTTCTTTCTCTGTGAAAAACTCACAAAAAGTAACAATAAAAACATAGATGGATCATATTATATATTTCCTCTAAATTTGCACTTGAGATGCAAAACATGGTTAGAGGAACTTTCTCAATCAAGCTAACTGATTTCATTATAAATTATGAAATACATTTGTACATCAACTATATTTCAATAAAAATGAAGAATTAGCTATGGATACATGGGCTTCCCTTGTGGCTCAGCTGGTAAAGAATCCACCTGCAATGAGGGAGACCTGGGTTCCATCTCTGAGTTGGGAATATCCCCTGGAGAAGAGGAAGGCTACCCACTCCAGTAATCTGTCCTGGAGAATATACAGTCCATGGGGTTGTAAGGAGTCAGACACTACTGAGCGACTTTCACTTTCACTTTTTCACATCAAGTGAACCTGGGTTGCAGGGAGAAATAGACTACAAAGCAGCACATGGAAAGTGTTTTATTTGATGGAGGTTTTGCATCTTGGATGTGGTGGTGGCTATATAACTATATGCTTTGTCAAAACTCATAGAATTGTACACTAAATGGGTAAATTTTACAATGGGTAATTATACCTCAATGAACCTGACTTTTAAAACAGAATTATATAAGCTACAATAAAGAACTGAACATAAAGACTGAAGAATAGAATAGATACTGAACAAATTCTTGAACTAGAATATCAGATCAAGGCATCTTCTTGGAAGAATTAGGAAACAACAAATAGAAAAAAATATGTAAAGATTAAGACATGGAATATAGAAACAAAAGTGACAAAATTATATAGTGAGAGCCCTAGGAAGAAAGAGACATTTGAAAAAATAATGACTAAAAATATCCTAAATGTAAGGGCAGGAAAAGACTGAAAACTTCAGATGAAAGGGCGAAGAGAGGATCAACTCAGATATATAAAAGAAAACACACACACACACACTTAGACACATAATAGGAAAAATCAGTAAAATCATAAAGACAAAACTCTAAAAGATTACAGTGCTGCTCTGTAAATGATCACTCTGTAGCAGTGGAGTAAATATCATGCTGACAAAATATTTCACAAGTTATGTTGTTGACAAGAAAGAATCTAGGCCAAAAATCTGTTGAGTAAAGGGGACCTATAATTTTATATCTGGCAAAGCTATAATAAAAGAAAGGGTAAAATAATGCTAATCTCTGGAACACAGGCAATAGAATCAATACAAAAACACTTACTGAACACACTTTTCAGCAGGAGTTAAAAAAAAGAAAAATAAATCCAGGAAAAATCTATGAATCTTTCAGAAATCAGGATCTAAATAAAGATTAAGTATCTAAACAAAGAATAAATCAAGAAAAATATCACCATTAAAATTCAAATTAGAGGTCCAAAAGATACTAACAAACTGTGTATGTGTGTACATTTGTACATATATAGAGCTCTTGGTTATAACTGGAAAGTGGAAAATGCTATGGTATTTAATTTTGGAAAAATACACTTGTAAGTCTGAAAATTGATAGGAAAATAAGCACAATTATTGTTTTTAATAATTTAGATGTAATTATGAACAGTAACAAAAATGCAAACGGAAAGTTTTCTTCATTTTCAAACCAATAAATGTCAAAATATCCAAAAGAAAACATTTTAAGTAGAAAATATAAAATAAGATAGCAGGAACTCATCCTAATATAAGAAGAATTACAATAATTGTTAATGGCTTAAGGTCCCAGATCAACGGAATTCCAGATCAAATATAAAAGTGATATCCAGAAAAATACTGTCTTGAAGAAAATAAGAGCCTACAAAAGATAAAAAGTAATAGAAAATAGTAAAATAAAAAAATAACAAAGTATATATCTAGGAAAACATGGAGGAAAAACTACATATACATTATGCTTATCAGGTCACTGTTTTCATACAAGACTAAAAAGAACAGCCTATGTTGTTGTCTATGTCTACGTATTGTCCTAAATGTGAAAAAAATTCAAAGAAGGGATATATTTACACATGTTGTACATTCACCTTATCACATAGCAGGAACTAACTCATCATTATAAAGCAACTATACTCTAAAAAATTAATTAAGTTTAATTTAGAAAATAAAAAAGAAGGGACTTTCAAAAAGAAAAGAAGGTGTACACAAAATTAAATTTAAAAAAGAAGAAGTAGGCTTGGTTTAAAATTTTCTTGTCTGGTTGTTTTCTTTTTTCCTGGATGGTTCCAGAAAAAATATATATGATTTTTATGAGTGTCAAAAGTAGGGAAAACCACTAGACTACTGAGGTATGACCTAAATCAAATCCCTAACGATTATACAGTGGAAGTGAGGAAAAAGATTTAAGGGACTAGATCTGATAGAGTGCCTGATGAACTATGGACAGAGGTTTGTGACATTGTACAGGAGGCAGGCAGCAAGACCATCCCTAAGAAAAAGAAATGCAAAAAAAGCAAAACGGCTGTCTGAGGAGGACTTACAAACAGCTGAGAAAAGAAGAGAAGCCAAAAGCAGAGGAGAAAAGGAAAGATACACCCATCTGAATACAGAGTTCCAAAGAATAGCAAGGAGAGATAAGAAAGCTTTCCTTAGTGATCAGTGCAAAGAAATAGAAAAAAACAATAAAATGGGAAAGACTAGAGATCTCTTCAAGAAAATTAGAGATACCAAGGGAACATTTCATGCAAAGATGGGCTCAATAAAGGACAGAAATGGTGTGGACCTAACAGAAGCAGAAGTTATTAAGAAAAGGTGGCTAGAATACATAGAAGAACTATTAAAATAAAAAAAAATCTTCATGACCCAGATAATCACGATGGTGTGATCACTCACCTAGAGCCAGACATCCTGGAATGTGAAGTCAAGTGAGCCTTAGGAAGCATCACTACAAACAAAACTAGTGGAGGTGATGGAATTTCAGCTGAGCTATTTAAAATTCTGAAAGATGATGCTGTGAAAGTGCTGCACTCAATATGACAGCAAATTTGGAAAACTCAGCAGTGGACATGGAGCTGGAAAAGGTCCGTTTTCATTCCAATCCCTAAGAAAGGCAATGCCAAAGAATGCTCAAACTACAACACAACTGCACTCATCTCACACGCTAGTAAAGTAAAGCTCAAAATTCTCCAAGTCATGTTTCAGCAATACATGAACCATAAACTTCCAGATGTTCAAGATGGTTTTAGAGAAGGCAGAGGAACCAGAGATCAAATTGCCAACATCCTCCAGATCATCAAAAAAGCAAGAGTTCCAGAAAATCATAGATGTTTTTGACTATGCCAAAGCCTTTGACTGTGTGGATCACAATAAACTGTGGAAAAATTCTGAAAGAGATGGGAATATCAGATGGGAAAATTCTGAAAGAGATACCTACAGGTTTCAAGAGGCAGGTCAGGAAGTAACAGAACTGGATATGGAACAACAGACTGGTTCCAAATAGGAAAAAGAGCATGTCAAGGCTATATATTGTCACCCTGCTTCTTTAACTTATATGCAGAGTACATCATGAGAAACACTGGGCTGGATGAAGCCCAAGTTGCGATCAAGATTGCCAGGAGAAATATCAATAACCTCAGATATGCAGATGACACCACCCTTATGGCAGAAAGTGAAGAAGAAGTAAAGAGCCTCTTGATGAAAGTTAAAGAGGAGAGTGAAAAAGTCGGCTTAAAGCTTAACATTCAGAAAACTAAGATCATGGCATCCGGTCCCATCACTTCATGGCAAATAGATGGAGCAACAGCGGAAACAGTGGCAGACTTTATTTTTGGGGCTCCAAAATCACTGAAGATGGTGACTGCAGCCATGAAATTAAAAGACACTTATTCCTTGGAAGAAAAGTTACGAGCAACATAGACAGCATATTAAAAAGCCAACAAAGGTCTGTCTAGTCAAAGCTATGATTTTTCCAGTAGTCATGTGTGGATGTGAGAGTTGGACTATAAAGAAAGCTGAGCGCTGAAGAATTGATGCTTTTGAACTGTGGTGTTGGAGAAGATTCTTGAGAGCCCCTTGGACTGCAAAGAGATCCAACCAGTCCATCCTAAAGGAAATCAGTCCTGAATGTTCATTGGAAGGACCGATTCTGAAGCTGAAACTCCAATACTTTGGCGACCTGATGCGAAGAGCTGACTCATTTGAAAAAACCCTGATGCTGGGAAAGATTGAAGGCAAGAGAAGGGGATGACAGAGGATGAGATGGTTGGATAGTATCACCGACTCAATGGACATGAGTTTGAGTAAACTCCAGGAGATGGTGATGGACAGGGAGGCCTGGTGTGCTGCAGCACATGGGGTCTCAGAGTCAGACATGGCTGAGCGACTGAACTGACTGAAAAAAAATTCAAAATAAATTAAAAAAACAAAAGAATAGCCTTAAGTGCAAAAGGTCTGTATATGCTAGTAAAGGGTAGAAAAATAGCAAAGGTAAGAAAGAACAACACATAACCAACAGTATAGTTTCAAAATCAGAGTCAAACCTAATGAGGCCTGCTGAAGCCTTATTTATTCTTTCCTTTTGGCAGCTGTCACCACGTTCACACTCTCTTGCACGCTCTGCTCTTGTAGCTTTCATGCAGCCACACTGCCCTGACTTCGCTCTCAAGGTGGACTTCCGTCCTCCTTGACTGGACCTGCCCTGATTCCTTCCTCGGTTCTTCACACAGGGTGCCCACAACATCCAAATATTAGTCGCCCCCTCCCCAGCCCTCCTACCATTGCCAGATACACAGGCCTAAGGCCCGCTTGACACATACCTCGAATTTATCCCGTCCAGACTAGCATAGCCTCTTCATCTTCCACATTACATCTCCTTGTCTACACTCAGTGAAGAGATCAGGAGCTCTTCAGAGATTCTCCTCTGCTTCTCCACACACACCCAAACCCAAGCAAGCCTGCAAGATCTCTTTCACACCCAGTTCTTCTCTGCAGCTCCCCTGCGCCCACTCCATCCAGACCACCATCACTGCCCCTCCTAGCCTCGGCAGCCTCCTTACAGCAGCCATCAGGATCTTCCTCAGTGGCTTCCTACTATTCCCTCCATGGTTTTATATCTTCACATTTTCCCTTGGAACTCAAACTTCATGCCACGGCATGTGAGCGTCCTCACCAGCCCTGCCCCTGTCTTCTCACCTCATTTCCCACTGTTGACCCCAGGCTTACCACACTGGCAGCCACATGGGCCTTCGTCACACACACACTGAGCTCTTTCCTGCCAGAACATCTGCAAATACTTACTCCTCTTCCTGAAATTTATCATCCCTGATCTTTATATGACTGGCTTCTTTCCATCTTGGTCTCAGCTTGAATCCTACTTGCAGACTGCTATATCCAAAGTACACCCCTCAGAGTGGAGAAAATGGAACCCTCTTGCACTGTTGGTGGGAGTGTAAATTGGTGCATCCACTATGGAGAACATTACAGAGATTCCTTAAATCCACTATGGAGAACATTACAGAGATTCCTTAAAAAACTAACAGTAGAGCTACCATATGAGCCTGCAATCCACTCCTGAGCATATATCCAGAGAAAATTTGAGTTTGAAAAAATACATACATCCAATGTTCATTGCAGCACTATTTACAATAGTCAAGACATGAAAGCAGCCTAAATGTCCACTGACAGAGGAATGGATAAAGAAATGTGGTATGTATATACAATAAATATGCCATAAAAAATAATGAAAAAAATAAAAATAAAAAAAAATAATGGAATAATGCCATTTGCAACAACATAGCTGGACCTAGCAATCATAATACTAAATGAAGCAAGTCAGACAAAAACAAATACCATATGATATCATTTATAAGTAGCATATTAAAAAAAGGATACAAATGAATTTATTTACAAAACAAAGCAGATCCACAGACAGAAAACAAATTTGTGGGTACTAAAGGGGAGGGTGAGGAGGGGTACATTAGGAGATTAGAATTAACATATACACACTTCTATTAATATATATCAAATAGATAAAAATAAGGTTCTACTGTATAATACCAATATAATACTACTATACTCAGTATTTTATAACACGCATAAGGAAAAAGAATCTGAAAAAGAATATTTGTGCATATTACACACAAATGTATATATATTTATATAAATATATATACATATATTAACTAAACTGCAGTGCTATAACCTGAAAAACTAACAACATTGTAAATCAACTGTACTTCAATTAAGAAAACAGCTAAATACACCTGTCAAGTTACTCTGCCTCACTCTCCTTTATCACCTTGGTGCCTCACAGTGCCAAGCCCATCACTAATAAATATATGCTAAATAAAATAACTGCCTTAAATTTAATGGCCCATAATAATGTAGTTTTCACTTATAAGCATTAAATATTTGCTAAATAAATAAATAATATAGATGATTACTCACATTATTTCTTAAATCCTATTCCTGTTACATTTAATGTAACATGGGGTATTTTTATGTTTAACAAATGAAAAGAAAAAAAATACCTAAAATTTATTCAGTAACTCTGGCAAATCAAAGCTTTCCATCTTTAGATTAAAAGACATAAAGAATATACAACAAAATAGATTACAGATAGAGAAGGTATAACTATTTGCAGGTCCTGTCTACAAAAATATAAATCTTCATACTGACAATGATTAATTACCTGGCTTCAATGTCATTATTAATGGATATTTGTCTATAATGTTCCAAATGAAACTCAGGAATACTCTTTTAATTATAGGCAATTCTACACATTTAAAATCTACTTTAAACATGACACTGTAAGTCAACTATACTGTAATAAAAAATTTTAAATAAATGCAATCTACTTCCAATTTTGAAAAAGAATAGGCAAAAAAGCATTTATACTAATTCCAAGGGACAAAATAAGACTGGCCTAAAAAACTTACAATTAACAATGCATTATTGTTAATTAAGATAACAATCAATACAAGAAAAACCACAATCATTTTAAAATTTGGATAAGTGGATCTATACAAAGTATGCAAAAAAAAAATTTGGAGAAATGTAATATTTTATCCTAATGAATGAACATGGATATATGATAAGAAGGAAATATTTAAATATTTACTAATAACAATTAATGTTGTAAGTAAGTAAAGTCGCTCAGTCATGTCTGACTCTTTGCGACCCCATGGACTGTAGCCCACCAGGTTCCTCGTCCATGGGATTTTCCAGGCAAGAGCACTGGAGTGGGTTGCCATTTCCTTCTCCAGGGGATCTTCCAGTCCTCAAATAATATAAAATATCCAGGATTCAGTCTCTCTGAGTCAAAGAACAAGGAAATAAATTTAGTCAACCAAAAGAAAAGAATTCCAGAAATAAAGTTCTTTGGGAGAAAAGCTATGGCCAACCTAGACAGCATATTTAAAAGCAGAGACATTACTTTGCTGACAAAGGACCATCTAGTCAAAGCTATGGCTTTTCCAGTAGCCATGTACAGATGTGAGAGCTGGACCATAAAGAAGGCTGAGTGTTGAAGAATTAATGCTTTTGAACTCTGGTGTTGGAGAAGACTCTTGAGCATCCCTTGGACACAAGGAGATCAAACCAGTCCATCCTAAAGGAAATCAGTCCTAAATATTCATTGGAGGGACTGATGCTAAAGCTGAAGCTCCAATACTTTGGCCATCTGATGTGAAGAACCGACTCATTGAAAAAGACCCTGAAGCTGGGAAATACTGAAGGCAGAAGAAGGGTATGACAGAGGATGAGATGGTTGGATGGCATCACCAACTTGATGGACATGACTTTGAGCAAGCTGTGGGGATTGGTGAAGGACAGGGAGGCCTGGCATGCTGCAGTCCATGGGGTCGCAAAGAGTCAGACATGACTGAGCAACTGAACTGAACTGAAACCTCTTAGACTAATGAAAGCTCTTACCTCATTTTCCATTTCTTCAAAGTCTAAGGGCTGTGAATTACATAAGGACTGAAGCTATAGTTTCTGATTAGAATAAGCCACACACTCTACATGCAGTTCCATATTTGAAATGTCAACATATGACAACATAGCCTCATATTTTGGCTTCCAAACTGTTTTGAATGTAACCTACAGGTAGAAACAGATTTTCCTGCAGCCTGTACATACAAGCCTATACCTCTACATGTAAACAAATTGAAAGAAATATCAACAATAGCTACCCACTGGTTGGAATAATAGAGTCTGATGGACACTTTACATCCTTACCGTCATATTTTAAAAACAATCATCAGCACATTATCCTTTTAAGGTTTATTTCTAATTTATTTTTTGGCTGTTTGGGGTCTTCACTGCTGCATGTGGGCTTTCTCTAGTTGCAGCGAGCGGGAGCTACTCTCTGGTTGCGGCACTTGGTCTTCTCATTGTGCCGGCTTCTTCTGTTGCAAAACACAGGCTCTAGGCACACAGTCTCAGCAGTTGTGGCTTGTGGGCCCTAGAACACACCGCCTTCAGTGGTTGCAGCATGCCAGCTTATCAGCTGTAGCTCCTGAGTCGCAGAGCATGAGTTCAGTGCTTGTGGCGCAGGGGCTTAGTTATTCCACAGCAGATGGAATCCTTCCACATCAGGGATCAAACCTGTGTCCCCTGGACTGGTGGGCAATTCTTATCCACTGCACCACCAGGGAGCTCTCTTACTATCCTATTTTTAAAATGCTGTTTGCTAATAACAAACAAAAACAAACAAACAAACAAAAATACAATGCTGGTTTCTATCCACTAATTCCCCAGATCACTATTGGGCCTTGACCTTTATTTTAAAAATAATTACCCTAGTAACTGTTATGGTTGAATAAATTATATTAAATATATATACATACTTTGATTGTGTCAGAACCCAACAAAGTCTGTAGGGAACTTGAAGGAGAATCAGAAGAATGCTAGGAAAAAAAAAAAAAGGACAAGCTTAGGATGCATCCAGCCTCGTCAAGCAGAGGGAAATGAAGTGAAGCGAAGCAAAGGTTTGAATTGCACGGTCTAGTCTAAGGCATTACCATGGACAAGGAATCCTGTAAGACCTTATCAATGGTAGCATAGAGCTCTTCAGTTTGCTGCCTGAGCTGTGCAGGGGAACACAACTGGAAGAAGTGAAACCAGGCACTGGGTTAGCAGAGAGTTTCGGGGTTGTATTTCAAAAGCAGGGCTGGATCTGAAGCCATTACCTCCAGAAGTGGGTCTAAGGTGTTGTCCTTAGAAATGCTGTCCGTCTTGACTGGTTCATCTAGTGCCTAGTGATAATAAATGAAATGGTTCTCACATGAGGTTTTTAGTCAAATATACAGATAGTAAAGTCTGAATTCAAAGAAAGCTTTGGATGTCTCAATGTTTCCAAGAATAATCATCTTTGAATCATTTCATGAGCTGCTATCTGACATGGAGGCATTGCCCACAAATGTCCACCTTCTGCTATGGAAATAGTACCTCCAATATAAGAAAGCCCATAGTTCCTGTGGGCACAAGCCCCATTGGTGCCCCGCTGGCTTTTCAAGGTAAACATTTGAGGGGCTTTTCCCTTAGGTGGGAACCTTAAAGATTGGGACATTCTATGTCCAGCCTAAAATCTAACGGAGGAGCTGGGAGCTGGAGTCGCCCCCCAGTTGTTTGACACTGTACCAGGGGCAGGGTTAATGGCAAGAGTGTATCTCAGCCCTTCCTGCCAGGTTTGATGTGGGTATTTTCTTATTAATCTGAAATGTTGGAGTCACTCAGGTGGGTTCTGGATTTCTCTTGGAGGGAATTTCTCCACGTGCAGTTTGCACATTCAGCATATCACTGGGAGGAGAGGAGTTCAGAAGCCATCCACACTGCCATCTTTGTCCCTCTCCTTCATCATGTCTAACATTTGTGTCTACCTGCTTTGTTCTTAATCAAATTCCAGGTAGGGTTATCCATTTCTAATCTCTTAATTGGACTAATTTTTGGCTTTGACCTTTGGCATACTCATTCCATTTCAGTCATTTCTGCTTATGACTCATTATTTACTTCTTTCTATAGTCTTTGGATTTATCCTTTTGTCCCCTCAAAGAATCCTTTTTGTGGCATTCTGCAAGTTGTGATATGTATATGATCACTATTATACAATGCTAAACATATTTTTTAAATATTTCCATTAAGTTTCCTTAGACTTATGAGTTACTTAAAAGTAGTTTTGCTATCTAATCTTTAGGAATATAAGTTTTTTATCCAATTTTTAAATGCCTACTTATTTAGTTAGAACCAAAGAATTTCTTCAAAATAGTAGTTTCTTATGTGGTTTGAGATGTATGGTATAAGACATGGTAAGTTTTATGTAAATATTCCATAATATCTATTCTCTAATTATTGGCTGCAGGGTTCTATGTGTATGTGTATGTATCCATCAGATCAAAATTTTTCACTGTTTTTTTCAAATCATGTTTAGCTTTATTGCATTCTTATGCATGCCTCTTAACAACTGAAATCATAAAATATGACATAATTGTTAATTTCTCCTTGCGATCTTAGAACTTCTGCTCAATGTAGTTTGAAGTCATTTTATTAGCTACCTTCATAATTAGAAGCATACCTTCTTCATGAATTAAATATTTGTATTTATGAAGTGTCTCTCCATATCTATAACAGTACTTTGGGTCTTAATCTCTATTTTGCCTGATACAATCAAATGTGTTTATTAGTACTTTTTACTATATCATTGCCTTTTTATTTCCAACTCTCTGCATCCAAGCATTAAAAATCAGTGTTTTTTATAAATGTCTGGAATTCATTTCTTAATCTGATCTAATAACATGTATCTTTTAATATAAGCTAACATTTATTATCGTTTGTTTCTAAAATATATTTGTTTTACCTTTGTCTCACTTTTTCTATTTAATTTTTATTCAGATTTTGAATTGTTTAATTGATTAAATTTAATAAATTTAATTTACTGTAATTTATTTTTTTCCCTGCACTAATTTGGATATCATGCTAGACAAGCCTTAGGATCACCAAATTACTTCATTTTCTCAGGCAAGGATATACATTTCCTTGAACTTAAGAACTGAGGGCTTGTGACTGACTTTTCCTAAGTGATGTGAGCAAAGGTGATGCATAACTTCTGATGAAAGTCGCTTAAGGGTGGATATGACTTTTCATCATCCTCTCTTTCTTCTTCAGATAACTGAAAACATGAGGTGGAAAGAGACTACATCACTGAGCCACGTTGTATCACCAAGGTGAGCTGTACCCCATTGTGATGTGGGAGAAAATAAATATTTACTGTGTTAAACTAACTCCCTTAGTTCAATAACACAAAAGAAATTGTCTAGAAACTATTTTTTCAAAATCCATTCCTTTACATTAAATAAAACACTAGCTATGGTCACCTAATAGAAATGCTTGAGCTTTCCTTTTTACTACCATAAAAAATGTATCTCTTTTCTTCTCCTCCTCCTCCATCCTTCCTACTTAAAATTAATTATGCATAATAGATAGCAGGGAACAGAAAATATCATAGAGACCACTCCTTGTTGTTGCTCAGAAAATTTAATTTTTCCTCGACATGGTGTTCTAACCACTTCCTATTTACCCCATGGGCTGGGGTGAGGGAGGGGAAGGGGTTCCCACTCCACAGTGATAGGGCCCCTGAATACATGACCCTGGGCAGGTGAAATCAAGCTCAGCGCAATATTCAGAGGTGGGCATGGCCCAGGGAACAGAGTCTGTCTTCCATCAGGGCCGCAGGAAAGTAGTGCTCAGGAAAAATGAACAAGCAGGGACTGTGGGAGGCAGGCTTTGTAGGATCGAATGAGATGGCCCTGGTTCCTTAGAAGGCTATGGTCACCTTGATTGAACAGTATGCACTGCACCTGGTCGGTTTGATAGGGAGGGCTGGGGGACCATGTCTGGAGAAGCAGAATGGGGAACAGAGCTTGTAATTCAGCTATCTGAGTCCCTGCCAGTTCTACCAGATGCCAAGCACATAATATTGGGCCTTAGTTTTAGGCTTTACACCACACATGGCTTCCATGATAATAATTATATAAAAGAGAAAAGTCAGAAATTAATGATCAGAATTAGGAACAAACTCCTTGGGAGAGAAGTCTGGTCCAGCCCTTCCTTGCCTCTCCACCATCACCTTCTAACCAATCCTCCCTTGCCTGCTGCTCTTTAACCACAAGGGACTTGGGTTTTTGAACTTGTGTTAACCTTCCAATCACACGTCATTAACTCTGCCTAGATGGATCTTTCCTCCACAGTCAGCTAACTTAGAATTCCTACTCACCCTAAAGATCTTAATCTAAGTCCTTTATAATGGTTTTTGGCATTTGAACCAGGCAAAGTCTTTCACTCCATCCTTGAGATGCCACATCATTCCACACATGACTTAAACATACTGTATCATCATTATTCTTCGGCTGTATCTCTATCCTACTGGACCACTTCTCCCACTACAATTATGTAACTGTGGTATTTATCTTGGTAGCCTCAGGATACAGCACATGACATGTCCTCAGTAAAGACATTTAGGATGAACTGGAAGGGTAAACTGACAAATAAATGGAGTTAAATGAACCGTAGAAAGAATATGATTTCAATATGCCTCAGTAAAATGCTCTAGAGAAGGAGGTTGAACTCTGAAAATTTTAAATAATAAATAACTTATTTTCCCACATTTCAATTAAATTTGTTTACCATCAAAGATCTGAGTATGTGATCAGTTTAGTATAATGTGCAAATATTTTTTCAGCCAAAATCAAATAGGGTTATTATCCTGGTTACTTCGTAGGAACTTACTAAGCAAACACATCCTTTATTATGCAACTTAAAACACTGATGTTTACTCAAGGAATAAAAAAACTATCTACTCAGAATGCTTGGAAAATTAAGGAGGATAACTAGTATTATTAATATATCAGCAATGCTGAAACCTTGAAATGAAGACAATATTCAAATTGCATTAAAATTTGGAGAGGGGATTATTTTGAGTTTAAATAGCGTTGAAATTTTCTAAAATTGATTTTTTTATTGACAAGGAGTTCTCTGTCAAGTATATCATCTTGATCCACTCCTCCTAGCAGACTTTTTTTTTCCTCTGTGGTACAAAATGTATTAAAAGAAAATACATTAAATCTCTATTAACATGAAGTGTGACCATAGATTGCTTTTTGACAACTTAGCAGGACTGTATTGATGTTTCTTATTTATTTTAAGTGAAGTTCTCTCAGAATACTCTCCAGTAAAAGGTTTTATAAAAACATGTATTTTCTACCAAATTGGAAGATAGCTAAGCAAGGCATAAAGGGAACATATTTTGAATCCTATTTTTAAAGGTTCTTAAGTAATGGTTAGAAGTATTCTGATTAAAAGTTGTTATATTTTGCTCTGCACAGCCAACTTTGGGGCCCAGTTTTTGAAAAGAGACATAGTCTCTTTTTGACTTTTAGAAAAAAATAGTTTCTGAATTCAGTATGATTTTCTAATTAAGGGTCAAGAACCAAGAACACCATTGAAAATCAGTCTTCACGAGTTATGCCTACGCATTGTAATAGGTGTTCCTCATCCCAAAGCAGCAGCTCTCATGGAACCGCAATCCCTGTTAGGTAAGACATGTTAAATCAGCAGACTGATTAGAACCTGCTCTCTTTAGAAATAGGATTAAGTGCTAAAAATCTGAAAACAGTAGAATTAGAAAGTAAATTGTTTCCAAACAAAAACTTATCTAAAAGGACTGGTAAACTTTTTGTGATGCCACAACTTGCTAACTGGATTGGATTTCAAAAATGTCATGGATAAGTACTGTATTTTAGTAATGATAAAATTAACCTCCCAAAAAACAATTCAGGCAGAACCCAAATGTTGCTATACTTAGTTAACCTGAGCAGGAATTTGGTAGAAAAATCCTTTAACCATAAGAGATTTGCTTGATTTTCAGTCATTAATACAAAATCATTTGTAAGACTGGAGATATTCTCAGGCAAATAAATCTCATTTTGATTCTCTAGTCAGAGAATAGCTTTCAGACCTGAAGAAAGGGGGAAAATGTACACTGTAAGCCAAAGGGGTTTCCATTATAAAAGTACAGCTTCTTTAAAGATCAAGGAATATTTATCAGTAGACTATTTTCATGTGATTGGTTTAAAAATTTCAAGAATTGAGGAAATTTACTTGGTGTTTTTAATCCCAAGCTCTTTGGAGGGTTAAATATCTGTTCCTCGCACACAGAAGGAATGGATTTTTGGCAAATCATTAGGCTAGTTTCAAACCCACT